CCAAATTTACACTTCACTTCTCAATAAAATTCTTCACTGTAAGAAAAAAATTACAAAGAATAAACAAATATCGGAAATTCTAACTGGCTCATTTTACTCTATGGGCAACTTCAAATTTTAACTCAAATAGTAGGAAAATGCTTTACAAAATGAGACAAAATAGAAAAATACAGAGTGTTCCTAGAGTCAAGGAAAATTTTCCTTCAAAAAACAAAACCTGCCCAGCCGGTGTGGCTCAGCGGTTGAGCGTTGACCCATGCATCAAGAGGTTGCTGGTTTAATTCCTGGTCAGGGCCCAGGCCCAGATTGTGGGCCTGATCCTCAGAGGGGGGTATGCAGAAGGTAGCTAATCGATGTTCTCTCTCATTGATGTTTCTATCTCACTCACCCTTCCTGTTCCCCTCTCTCTAAAAATCAATTAAAAAAAAAAAAAAGAAAAAAGAAATACAATTTGGTAGCAGTGCCTAAAGCTCAAATGAATGAAGATAGTTCATTCTCATGAGAACACTTTGAAAGGGTTAAAAAAAATCTCAAGATGGAGTGTGTGAAGCTTTGACAGTAGGAATGAGAAACTGTTAGTTCAATTCAACCCCATTGAATTGATTGTGTTGGCCAATATTTTTGGCCAGCCATTATGTGCAAGGTACAGGGTTAGGTATGAGGGTACAGTGATATAAAATAGAGTTCCTGCCTCCTAGTGGATTTTGTCTGGGAAACTCAGTAGTTAAAGTATTAAACTAAATGGACCCAGTTTCTGATTTATATGTTCTCTGAACAGCAATTTGGCAGGCTTTGCGTTTGCAAGGGAAGTGGAAAAGCATTTCATTCCTCTTTGATAGTGAGTTTAAGAAAAAGTCATCTTATGACATGAACATTTATTAATAAGAAAAAAGTATATGATAACTAAAAGAGAGGAGTTTAAGTAAAATTTGGAAGCAATGCACCAGGGAGGCAAAGAGTTAACAAGGAGGGTAAAGAAGGAAAAGTAAAAAGAAGGGAAGGCAGACAGTTGAGGAATGAGCAATGAAAAATAGCCCTGGCCTTGGGGGGGCCAGGGGAAGGCAATGCAGACCACCACCCCTCCACCCCTACCTCCAGAGAAAGCTGGAGGACCTCGGGTCATATATACTGCAGATTGGACTCTTCCAAAAGAGTCTTGTCTTCCAAGGAAGATAGGGTGAGTGAGGGAGTTAGAGACAGAGAAGAAGGAGACTGGGGAAATGGAAGAAAGAAGATACATTGGCCTTCTGGATCTTAATTGCTTTCATGTAAATTGAAACAAAATGAGAAGTGTAATGGAGTGGAAGAGAGATGCATTTCAAATTGAAGGATTACTAAGGTAGAAGATTGCTTTTACAAATGACAAAAAAAAGTCAAAATCTGGTCTAAATGAAATATGAAACTGTGTAACAAAGAACACAATGATCAAAATGTAAGGAAATCCAATCATAAAAACAAATTAGTTTATTTTAATTGACTAGATTTAAATTGTTAATGACTTGCTTGATCTTAACAGCTCCATGGTAGGGATTCAGCTAATTTAGTAAAAAACCATTATCATACACAGTACATAATTATTTTGAAAATGTCTAAAATACAGAGCATTGCTATTTGGAGGCAATGATGGTTTGCAATTTAGACCTAACAGAAAATTAAAAATTTTAAGGAATATTTAAAATAATCATATCTTAGGCTTACTGATAAAAAGATATTTAGGTTATCTTTAATATATTATACATATTCTAAAAGACTTCACATTGATAAAAAGATTTCCTTCTCTCTGTATATTGCATTTTAGCTTCTCCAAATAGACATCTATTAGAGAATATAATTCCCTTTAAAACAAATAACTACTGGAGACAAAATTAATGATTTCTAGAGATATATTAAGTATAACTCATTGAAAAATCTATAAAACATAGGCCACTGGAGAATAGAATTTTCCAAATCCAATAACTACTCTTATTTGGAAGATATTTTAATAGGCCACATAGCATGAAAAAAGTTATTTAATGTTGACTCTTGTTTTCCATTTTTTGCTGCTCCAGATAGGAGTCTGGGCCAGTGAAATGGAAAAGCAGTGACCAGGAAAAGCAAATGGGACAACCCCTGAGGATTTTTATCCAAGTGCCTACGTTCTAGACTTGGAACTCTAATGACTGGATCCATGCCATATGCATTGCTTTATTTCTATCACCCAGCAGAGTACTCGGACCATAATCTTTATATAGAAATGCCTTGGGCAAGAACTAAGTTCAAACCTATCTCTACCAATTATAAGTGAGGGAGCAGTGGCCAACTTACTTATTTCTGAGTTTCAGTTTTTTCATCTGCAAAACAGAGATAAAAATAGCTATCCATTATAGTTATCCTGAGGATTAAATTAGGTTGCTGAAGTTCCAAGTACAGTGCTTGGAACATAATGGAACTCAACGAATGATAAGTATTTTTCATAGTATCTTATAATAGACAGGAACTCAGTTACCCACATTTGGCTCATTGCTCTACCCACCCCTTTAGCTGATGGAACAAGTCCATCCCAGCAGCTATCTCCTGACACCTCAATTCTACTCGGAGTTTTTGAATTAGGTTTTATATGGATTTGGGGAGATTAAAGACATGCTGAGGTAAGAGGTTGATTTTGGAGTCTTAGAAGAAACATAGCTTCTGGTCCTTGCCAAAAGAGTTCAGTTCCACATATGTGAACTAACCAGGTCAAGAGTGACTTTCTTGAGAGCTGTTGAGACCTATGCTGAACCAACTCAGCCCTTTAAGAGTAACCTTGTGGAATTTTCTGAGGCTGAGTTAATGCTGGTTAGCTCAACTGGCCACACAAAACTACTAAAAAACAAATTAAATCAAACTCACCATGGCCTTTGTAAAAATTTCAGAAAATGTTATGTATGTAGAGCTAATGAAATATCAGCAAATGAACTGGTATCATTGAGATGATGCTTAGAAATGGGTTTTCTCAGCTCTCTTCAACCTAGAACTTGACCAGGCTCTAAAAACCTGTTATGAAATATGAGAGTATAGGGTGAATTGGCCATAGGACTCCAGTCTGAGCTTATATGAGTTCTATGTCAACCCACAGACGGTCTCTTAAACATTTAGGGAAATAAAATATCTTCATCAGGAGAGTAAAGAGAGAATCCAGGGTTACTCTTCCCAGTATTTTTTTTTTCCTAAGGTTTTAAACTATTTTTATTTCCTTGAGGAGTTTGAGTACTGTAGTTTATCTAGCATAGTTAGATATCACTTTAATAAAACCTGATAATGAAAAATTTCAGTTCAAGCTACTTTTTCCAGGAGACTTCCCCCATGACCCCCAACTTTTACCCCCTAAATTTCTAGATTGAATCGAGTGGCCCTCCACAATGTTTCCCAAACACTGCTGGCTAACCTTTTCTTAGTGCTTTCCAATTTACATCAAAATAATATTTGTCTGTCCTCTTCATTAAACTAAAGCATCCTCAAAAGCAATATATATATAAATATTTGTCACATATGTGTATCATTACATATCTTTATATATCATTCATCTTTGTATCTGCCACTTAGTAGTCATTGTAACTTATTGAAAGGATAAATTAGTGGCTGGTGATTCATTAATAGAGATATAAAAGGACTTCTTAAATGACAAGATTCCTTCGCATACTTAAAATATATTTTAAATAATATAGTTTTTAGAAACTCGTATCTTTAATAAAATAAAGTTAAATTTATACTTATATAAATTATTAATATATAGAATCAGCACAGCAGTGCTCATGAATTTAAAACCTGAGAGGTTGCCCTGGCCAGTTTGGCACAGCGGTTAGAGCACTGGCCTGCGGTCCAGAGAGACCAGGGTTCAGTTCCCGCTAAGGGCACGCACCTCAGTTGCAGTTTGTCCCTTGCCCTGGTTGGGTCATGCTGGAGGCAGCCACTCGATGTGTCCCTTTCACATTGATGTTTCTCTCTCTCTCTTCCTCCCACTCTATCTGAATAAAAAATGAAAAAATGTCCTCAGGTGAGGATAAAAAAAAAAAAAAAGAAAAAGAAAAAAATCTGAGAGGTTGAGAGTTAACTACTATATTATTCCCTGTATTGGTCATATTTTTGGAAGGTATTCAATTCATCAGATGCAACAGAAGGAAAATATTTATATCCCAACTTCCTCCCAACTGCAAATGAATTTTAATTACATGTCACATTTTTTTTGGTAACTGAAATAATTTGTTTTTGTTTCTTAATGGAAATATTTTCATTAACACTCAATTTTTGAGCTTTCTTTTTTGAGATATTATAACATATTACACCACATTCATATAGAATTATCTGCTGCTATACTTGAAACCTTAGGAATGCCCACTTTAAAATTTTATCGAAACTCCAAAGCAAAATTCCAAATCATTAGAGCCTTAAAGTGTACTCTCATTTAAAAAAAGAGAAACTTTTTCTTTTTTACTCAAATAAATACACATTTAAAAGCAATGCTGCTTGTGATCGTGATATGAAATAAAACTTTTCATATCTATAGTGTGCCCTTCGTTCCTCTCAGAGTATACCATGACATGGTAATATAATTTCTTTGTGGTCAATAAAGAAGAAAACAACCTTGTCTGTAAAATTTTCTTATAATGATGACAAGAAAAACAGCAAATCTTATCACAAGACTTTGGGACATAGATGAGATTTTATTGCAATTAGCCATGTCTGCCTGGCAGAATTCTTTCTTCCTAAGGGAAATTGTGCAGAGCATTTTATATCAAGCTTCAAAGATTTTGATAAAAGGAAAGAAGACAACTGCAATTTTTGCCACAAAAAGACAGGTGGCGTAAGCATGCAGCATTTTTAAAAAATATATAAAGTGATTATTTTCTCTGGGTTCTTTGAAAAAAGCTCGCTTGTGCTCGGGTTTGTGGCTTGACAGGGTGACGTCAGTGTGGCAGTGCGGAGTCAGGCGCGGCGGCTCCCTATAAGCCGAGGAGCTGTCCGGGTGCTGAAACGGCCCGACCAGCTCACCAGGCGGACTCCGAGGAACATGCTGTGGACCTTCTCTGCCTTTTAAAAAAGAGGTAAGGCTGCTTTTCTGTTCGATTTACTAAAAAATTCTAAATTGTTTGTTCTTCCCTTAATTTCTAGCTGAGAAGAAAATATTGTTTAACAAGCTTATATCTATAGAATAGCTGAATAGCAACCTGCTGCTCATCAGGCAATGTAAGGACATTGTATGTGTATATATGTGATTGAATCTGTGATGTGTATATATGTGATTGAATCTATGATTTATACCACTTGCTGTTGGATAGTAATTAAGTATAATGTAATTTAGTTATAACAAGAGTGAAAAAGTTAAGAATTTTAGGATCAATATACATATTAATGTAAAGTTAACTATGCTCGATATTTTGCTTCTTTCCTTAATTTTTTGCCCCCCCCAAGAATCAGATACAAGACCAGAGATATAATTTATATGTTTATTATTTTTAACAGTAGGTTGTCAATAATTCAAAGGCTGTTAAACCCATTAGTCAAATATCTTAGCAACCAATTTTGGAACTATATTTTCCTTTGACATTTACCTTGCAAGACCTCAAAATTAACTGTATAAAATTATTTTCTGAATTGGTATAATTCTGAAAGGGCTTACATTAAGATTTTCTAATTTCAGTCCCAGGAAAGTAAAACTAGAATGATCTCGAACACAGGCTTCTTCCTTTATTCAGAGTGAAATATTATCTTGGGTTATAGGTTGGATATGACCACAAATTACAGAGAGATGATCATTTTGAATACATGAGGGAAATACCCATAACTGTATAAACTATAATTATTATGCTTTGATTGAAAAAGGTTGTACAATATTTTGCTAAATATTTGAATGGGCCAAATGTTATTTTTCCTGTATTCTAACTGGTTGTATTGCTTGAATTAGATATATCCACCTGTATTTGTTCATATTCCAGTCAAATTTCAACAGAAAAGACCTGTTAACTTATGAGGTTTTAGTTCAAACCCTTTAAAGAATATTAGAACTGTTGAAACCATCTTTGTTACTTAGAAGAGCTGCTACTTGAGAAAGAAATCCCTTGATTCTTACTCAAAGGCAATAACTATGTCATCCATACTAAACCTTATAAATGACCAAAGGGTAGAGATCGTTAGTGGTTTAAATACCTGCATTGAGTATTCTGCCCCAACTCCACAGTAAAGCCCACCTATAAGACAATGATTTTAAAGACAAGCACATAATTCATATGTTAAGAATACTTCAGAATAATGGTTGAAAAGAAAATGAGTTTACTAAGGTTCTTAAAATTACCATTTCAAATGATAGTGTCAAAAATAGATTACCAAAGCTAAATTAATCCTGAAGTAATATGAAGAACAATGTATAAGGAATTTTTATTTAGACCTAAGAATTTATGAATAAAATTTCTTTGAGTAAGTAAGATTTATAGTATTTTAGAAGTTTTTTCTGACATGCTTTTAGAGATTTTTTTTCAGCAAATTAAGTAGCCTCATTAATGAAAATTATTTAAATAAATATATGCATCAGTATTAAGAAATTTTTATAACTACAACCTTTCTGAGGCTTTAAAAATTACTCAAATACCAATGATTTAGTAAACAATGATATTTTCTACAATTGATATCTAAGCTAACAGAACATTGTACCCACTTATATATTACAAAACCATGATCCAGATAAGATATTATGAATAAACTTCCTTTACATTTATTTTGTTTGCAACAAAGTAGCAAGTATTACAATAGTTTTTCAGTGTTAGCAATGCCAAATGTAAAACATATAAGAACTGATGTTTTTGTTAATTCATATGTGAGATAATAAGGCAGTGGAGAAAAAAATGAATGAAGATTTTTAAGTAGGAACACTTCAACACATCATTTGTGTATATCTAAATTGAGAGTTACATAGTGGTTGTTTTAAGACATTTTAACAGTATGAGTCATTTAAGACTTCACAGGTCTGGACCAAAATAGACACAGACATAAATCAAGCTGAATCTGAACAGTCACAAGTTCAGAAATAGATTGGTTAAGTAAACTTATCTTCTCTCTGTAATGTTATTATTTACTATACACTCTTGAGGGCTGATAAAAAATATAACCATGATTACATTTTGCAAGACAGTGACACTAAAATTATTAGAAGAAATGTGGAGCACAGATACTTTAAAACAGTTTAATTTATTATTTTAATATGTTTACACAAAAAGAAACTTCATTGGGTTAGCTTACTAGCTCGGACCTGAGAAAATATATGTTGTGGAGTTAATTAAGTTATACACCTTCCAAAATTGATAGTTGGATTTGGAGGCAGAGTAAGAATAAGTTATTTCTGAGAAATGTACATTAGTGGGACTCATCCACTAGGTAATTCAGTATGATTGGCATTAACATGCTGTATCAATTTATCATATGTAATAATATAATTGCCACTACATTTTTACAACACGATTAAGTAGATAAGTTAGGAACTAAACCACATGTTTTTTGATACAACCTTAAGGAAATTATTTTGTGTGTGCATATGTGTACATGCATGTTTTAAGTTAAGCCAACTAATCTTTTCACCAGTGATTTCAAAAGGAATGTTATACAAGAAAACCAAAAACCTATTTTGGAAAGTTTTTATTAAAAAGAAAAATGCACACTAAAAGGAGACTTCTGTTTTGTAATTAAAAAAATAAAATTTGATGAAATGGGCAACAATTTTGCTAGGTTCCTGTGGTTAGCTTGTGAGGATCATGGAGAACATATTTATGGAAAAACAGTCATCCTAAATTTAGTGTGAAGTAATCTCTACTATGTTTTTTTCCCTCAGTGGTTGATTATATCTTTTGCTATATTGTCTTCTAGTCTGCCTCATTTGTGTTTACTCATGTTTTCCATTTTTAAGGAAATCTTTTGAACATGGCAGAAGCTCAGACTCACTGGCTTGGAACAGCCCTGTCTCTCATCCCTTTAATTTTCCTCATCTCTGGAGCTGAAGCAGCTTCATTTCAACGAAACCAGCTGCTTCAGAAAGAACCAGACCTCAGATTGGAAAATGCCCAAAGGTTCCCCAGCCCTGAAATGATCAGGGCTTTGGAATACATAGAAAAGCTCCGACAGCAAGCTCACAAAGAAGAAAGCAGCCCAGACTATAATCCCTACCAAGGTGTCTCTGCTCCCCTTCAACAAAAAGAAAATGGTGATGAAAGTCACTTGCCAGAAAGTTCAAAGGATTCCCTGAGTGAAGATGAATGGATGAAAATAATCCTTGAAGCTTTGAGACAGGCTGAGAATGAGCCTCAGTCTGCACCAAATGAAAACAAGCCCTATGCCTTGAATTCTGAGAAGAACTTTCCAATTGACATGCCTGATGATTATGAGACTCAACAGTGGCCAGAGAGAAAGCTCAAGCACATGCGATTCCCTCCTCTGTATGAAGAGAGCTCCAGGGACAACCCCTTTAAGCGCACAAATGAAATTGTGGAGGAACAATATACCCCTCAAAGTCTTGCTACACTGGAATCTGTGTTCCAGGAGCTGGGAAAACTGACCGGACCAAACAACCAGAAGCGCGAGAGGGCTGACGAGGAGCAAAAACTTTACGCAGATGATGAAGATGATATCTATAAAGCCAATAACATTGCCTATGAGGATGTGGTTGGGGGAGAAGATTGGAACCCAGTAGAGGAAAAAATAGAGAGTCAAACTCAGGAAGAGGTAAGAGACAGCAAAGAGAATATGGAAAAAAACGAACAAACCAATAATGAAATGAAGCGTTCAGGGCAGCCGGGCCTCCAGGATGAAGATCTCCGGAAAGAGAGTAAAGACCAACTGTCGGATGATGTCTCCAAAGTAATTGCCTATCTGAAAAGGTTAGTGAGTGCTGCAGGGAATGGGAAGTTGCAGAATGGGCAAAATGGAGAAAGAGCAACCAGGCTTTTTGAGAAACCACTTGATTCTCAGTCTATTTATCAGCTGATTGAAATTTCAAGGAATTTGCAGATACCCCCTGAAGACTTAATTGACATGCTCAGAACAGGAGAGAAACCAAATGGATCAGTGGAACCAGAGCAGGAACTTGAACTTCCTGTTGACCTAGATGACATCTCAGAGGTGGACTTAGACCGTCCAGAGATGTTCCCAAATAAGATGCTCTCCAAGAATGGCTACCCCAAGATACCTGGTCGTGCTGTGACAGAGGCCCTACCAGATGGGCTCAGTGTTGAGGACATTTTAAATCTTTTAGGGATGGAAAGTGCTTCAGATCAAAAGCCTCCATATTATCCTGGTCAGTCTAACAGAGAGAAGGTTCTGCCGAGACTCTCCTATGGCCCTGGAAGATCGAGAGCAAACCAGCTGTCCAAAGGTGTCTGGATGCCAGATGTTGAAAACAGACAAATGGCATATGAAAACCTGAATGACAAGGATCAAGAATTAGGAGAGTACTTGGCTAGGATGCTAGTTAAATATCCTGAAATCATGAATTCAAACCAGATGAAGCGAGCTCCCAATCCAGTCTCATCTGAAGATGACCTACAGGAAGAGGACCAAATCCAGCAAACCATCAAAGAACACTTGAATCAAGGAAGCTCTCAGGAGACTGACAAACCAGCCTCAGCCTCGGCCTCACTGAGCAAACGGCTCCCCATGGGGCCCCTGAAGAATGAGAATGCCCCAAACAGACAGTACTTGGATGAAGAATTGTTAATGAAAGTGCTGGAATACCTCAACCAAGAAAAGGCAGAAAAGGGAAGGGAGCATATTACTAAGAGAGCAATGGAAAATATGTAAGAGGCTTTCATTAAATGCCCCACTTTTACTCCTCCTACCCCAAGAAAACCCAAACATTTCCCTTTTGTGTGTTGACTTCTATCCTGTTAACACTGTAATATCTTTAACTGATGCACAGGCAGGTGTCTCCATTTCACTGGGGTGTCTGCTTCACTCACTCTGGTTTGTTTTCTTGTGTATTGATATGTGTAAATGTGATGACTTCTGGATAAAAAAGTAATTATATCCCTTATTTAAGAAAGATATCTACGATAGTATTTAATAGTGTATCTAATGGTTGTGGCATTGTGGATGCTCACATATGATAAAGAGTGTCTTATAATCTTGAAAGTTTTTAATATTTATTGAATTATTTTGGTATTGTCTGTAGTGTTTTGTGGAGTACTGAAGCAAAAAAAAAATAAAGCATTATAAATATATAGTTTTATTTACAAGGTCTTTTCAATGTGTGCTTTATTTTTGATTAATAAATGTTATTTCTGGACAACTGTGGACTCTTCATTCTGGAAAACCAGAGACAATGACCATGGAGAAGCAGTTTGGAGTCAGAAGAGAAAATCATCACCTTCCACAGCCAGCCCAGGTAAGAAATCATGAATTGTACATATGTGACCATGAGATTTGCTTATTGAAGGCAACATTCTCTAACAGCCCACTACCTAATGCTTGCCTAAGGTTTTTTTCACATACATACCTTATGGAATAAGCCTTTTGTTGTCCTGGTCTTACCTTTTGCTCTTGATTTAAATACATAAAAAATTTAGATCCTCCATTCATACAACCAACACTGAAAAAAGAGAGCTGTGTACAGGACAATCAGAAATGACTACAGACTTGGAAGCTATCTACTCTGTCCCTGGTCACCTTGATCTCCAGCATACAAAGCTTCTGCCTCTTTTGTATGACTCAAGAGGGGTTAAAAGGTCCCCAAACTGACTGTCAGCTAAGCGAATGCACCAGCTGCCCTCTCTCTTGCCCTAGTGCTAGAGAGGATCCTGAATGGGGCAGGCAGTACGTAATTGTTACTATTTGCATCACTTCAGAGAGGGGGGATGATATTAGCATCCTAACATATCAACAGGAAATCAACAACATCAGGAGCAAGAAAATATAGAGAGCAATAAAATGACAATGGTCACTAAAAAAAAAGGCAATAAAACATTGTCACTATTTACTGAAAGCTTATTGTGCACCAGGCACTATACTAAAGACTTTACTTCCTTTGGTCTCTACAATACCACTTCCAAGGGTCTTTTATCTCTCTTTTACATCAGGAAAAACAAAACTCAGAAGGGGTATATAACTTTCCCAACGTCACCCCCCATGTAAGTTGCTGAAGCCTGCATTCTTAACCACTTCACTACACTGACTCTCTGAGAAGTGCCCTTTCCCCTGAGATTTGGGGTTTGGGAGGTGGGATGGTGAGAAGCTCATGAAGTTTCAGTGTGGGCCACTTCCAAGTGAAGGCACATGTGCGCGAGTGTGTGCGTGTGTGTCTCCGGGGGAGGGGAGACGGTCCTTGAATGCCTTGAGGGAAAACACTGAATGTAGGTTTTCCTGCTTCATAATTTCACCCTGACTCTTTTCTGTGCAATTATTATGCAATTTTATGAATCCAATGATCTGTAAGTAGAAGAGACCCTAAAGGTGATTTATCTCTGCGTTGTTTCTAGTAGGTGGTCTTTACTCAAATACTTTCATGGTGGAGAATTACTACCCCACAAGGCGGTAGTGTGAATTGAGAGGCAGGATATTTGTGAAACTTAAATTTAGAGACATATTTATATTCCATGCTTTGAAGATGTCCACATTTGCCTTCTGCCCATGTATATTCTCTTCAATATTGTTTCATGCAGTGGCACTCCTGGTATACTAAACCACCGTGTGACTACTTCCTTGAAAACCCTTAGCAGACATGAGGACTTGGCACTTCTCCACCCAACAGAAACTTGCCCCCCTGGCAGGTTAGGGAGTGGGAGCAAGTGACAGATACAACACAGTCTATGAGGGTCCAGGCTGGGATTTATACACAGATCAGGGAGATGCCAAACCTTGCACTCATTCTGCTACAACACAAAGTGATGCCTTTTTCTTAAAGTCTCAGTTAGACTTGAAATTCCATGATTCTCTAACAATGACATTTCAGGCCTCAGGATTGGCAGCAGGGAAGATATTTAATTCGGGATATATATTCTCTTCCTGACTTATTTCAGACAGTAGTCAGCAAGCATCTTTGCCTTTTTGAGTAGCACTGTATCTGTAGCTATTGAATCATCAGACTTATTTATTTCTGATCAAATATTTTCTTCCATAAGTACATGGCTCACTAGCATAAGACATAAAGCTCTCAGGACCATTCAAGGATGTGGAAGACAAATTAGCTGGAATTAGGGAAACAATGCCCCTTTTTCTGCCCAGAAGTCTCTTTCAGCAGAATTCATGGAGTAGCTTGGGCCCTCCAAGAAGGTGCCCTCCGCAGGCTACCAAAGGAAAGAGAGAGAAACTGCCTGTATACCAAGATTGTATCCCTTCTAAGACTCCATGCTTTTATCAGAAGGAGTCAGATAAAAGCCTCTCACTCCATGACCTTGGCAAGATCCTCACCTACGCAGCCTTGCCTCCCCTCAGTACCCACAGCCTCCCCTCCTTACTTGCCTTGGGGACAATTAGGACTAAACCAACTGTGCCCTTTATAACAAGGCTTCCAAGTCATCCCTCATTCCCCATACTCAAAGCCCCCCTAAACGTTACCACCTTTTCCAGCCCCAGTTTCTACTCTTTCCTGTATTTTATAACATTGTTCATTATGCCCTTTACTACTCATGGTCATTCATCAGCAAAATCCCCTGCATCCTCACCCTCTTCTGTGAACATCTTGATCTTCTTGCTCTGAGGAAACCCATCTCTCAGCTTAAGATGCTCCTTCCCCTGAAAACTCTCTTCCTTGCTCCTTTTTACTGCTTATGGGACATTTTTTCTTTCAACTTTTTTTTTTTTTTTTGAGGGGAGGTAGTATGTTAATACACAGCTTTATTATTACTGAGGATAATCTTAGATGCAAATGAAAACAACAACAACAACAACAACAAAAAAAACAAGTCAATTGAGATGTACCAAAAACATACATAGAGGTTCATGAAATCCAAGTAAAGGTCAAGCCAAAATGTTGGACATGCAGAACAGCTGCAATAATTGTCATTTTAAAAAACTGAAATATATTCAACATGTAACACTATGAAAATTTAAGGTGTACACTTTGAATCTCGTGCCTTCACTCAGTACCCATCCATTACCCCTCACTCTCACAGTTATCTATGGCCCTGGGTTGCTTCCCCTCACACATTAAAAAGAGTAGCTCCTCTCTGGCTGGTGTGGCTCAGTGGTTGAATGTCAACGCATGCCCTAAGAGATCACCGGTTCAATTCCCAGCCAAGGCACATGCCCAGGTGGTAGGCCTGATCCCTAGTTGGGGGGCATGCAGGAGGTGGCCAATCAATGTTCTTTCTCATTGATGTTTCTATCTCTCTCTCCCTCTCCTTTCCTCTCGCTCTAAAACAAATAAAGAAAAACACACAAACACACAAAATACAATAGCTCCCGCTCACAGTCTCTTTTCCTAACACTGCTTCTGTCTCATACTTGTCAATTCAAATTCCATGAAAATGACCTTTTCAATATCCCCCATCAGCTATTCACTTGCATAGTTATGCCCTTGATCTTTTCATTACTAATAAGTGCAACCTATCCTAAATCTAAATGCTACACATTTCCCTCTCACAACTACCTTCTATATTTCCAGGGTACTTCCTCTAGTGCCTTTGTTTCAATAATCCTCACACCCACCAAAGCGTCATCCACCCATGGATCCTATCATCGTTGCTCTCTCTCTCATTCTCTATATTTTCTTTTTTGTTTTTCAATCCTCATCCGAGGACATTTTTCCATTTTTTTGTTCAGCTTGAATGGGAGAGAGAGAGAGAAACATCGACGTGAAAGGGACACATCGAGTGGCTGTCACCTGCATGACCCAACCAGGGCCGGGGACAAATTGCAACCGAGGTACATGCCCTTAGCGGGGACCGAACCCGGGTCTCTCTGGACCACAGGCCGACGCTCTAACCGCTGAGCCAAACAGGCCAGGGCTCATTCTCTATATTTTCACCATCTACCTTGTCAAGTTTAATTTTATGTTTGTCAGTCCTTTGTAAACATTCTTAACTCTTTTGGGTCTCTCATGTTTCTTTTTTCCCCTTTTAATGAATTTATTGGGGTGACACTGGTTAACAAAGTATACAGGTTTCAGGTGCCTAATTCCACAACACATCATCTGTACCTGTATTGTGTGTTCACCACCCCAAGTCTAGTCTCCTTCCATCACCATTTAACCTCACTATGCCCCCCACCTCTGTCTGTCCCCCTCCCCCAGGAATCACAATACTGTTGTCCATGTTCATGTCCATGAATTTTTTCTTTTTTTGCTCAATCCCTACAACATCCCCCCAACCTTCCCAAACCCCTAACCGGGATGGCTGTCAACCTGCTGTCTAAGAGTTTGTCTCTATTTTGTTCATTAGATTCCACATAGGAGTGAAATCATATGGTACTTGTCTTTGTCTGACTGGTTTATTTCACTTAGCATTGTCATTGCTTTGCTACACAAGAATTCTAGTTAAGCCCAATTCTCCACCCACTTGTACCTTCTCGCCTACAACTGAACATAGCAGGAGAACATAGCATTACTGATTGTTTCACTTTATTCATGCTCACTGACTCCAAGTGCCTATAATGCTCTCCTGGAATCCTATGTACCTCTAACCATTCAGTCTCTCTCCCCTTAGATAATATTGTATTTTCCTTTCTGTCAGCAAACATCTAACCCTGACTCCACTGTCCACACTCTCACATGATTATGTTGCTTCATGTTTCACTGAGTAAAAGAAAGAACCTGAGGAGAAGGTTCTTCAGATTCCCATGTTCATTTTCACTTATCATTGGGGTGATAACACTCTTTGCTTCCCTTTACTTGTGGGTGACTGGTCTGTGCTTCCGACTTCATTAAGCCCTCTAGCTGTGCACTTATTCCTGCCTTCTTGCTTACTTGAGAACCTTGTTTTAATAATTCTCCCCTTCTCTGTGCATCAACTGTTGCCTTTCTACTGGGTCATCCCCATTAGCATACAAAAGGTTGCAATTTCTTTCATCTGCAAAGCCAACAAAACAAACAATGCAATTTCTTTCATCTGCAAAGCCTACAAAACTAACCCCATTTTCCCTTACTCCTACTGCTCCCTGTCTCTTCCTTTACAGAAAAACTCTTTAAAGAGTTGTGTGTACTTATCCAAATTCTCCCCTTACATTCTCAAACCCCTTTTGGTCTGGTTTTT